TCTGATAATGTGTTGCAAGACACTATTTCATGAATTCGAAACCTCTTTTTCTTTCCATATTCATACATTTCGATATTAAGATGCACAATTACAGGGTTTTCCATCATCCCAACAGCTTTTTATGATGAATTTTTGAGGTGCACCTTTAATTCTACATTTTTAGGATGCAACTATATATAAAATTTTTGTTTTAAATAAGACATGTACATATTTAACATAATATTTAAATATATTTTTATTTATTTTTGGGTTCGGTCTTGGTCCAGGTCCAGTCGGGTCTGGGCCAACCCATCCCGACCTTGACCAGAAAGTTAAAAATTGGGTGTGAGCTAATTTAACCATGATTAACTTGGTGTCATTAATGCTTGTTAAGGGTGGTTAAGCTGAGACCTTATTGCCATAAATGTTTTCTCCCCTTGGCACCCTTCACTTTCAACAATGCTCAAAATATCCTTCACTTTCAAAAAATAATGATCAAAATATCCTAAAAGTATGTTACATGTTAATTGGAGTGCAGAAGAATAAACAAAGACTATTTTGCTCTTGATGGGAGGGACAATGGGAAAGTTGGGAAAAAATTATTAGGGTTTTTAGTACAAAATTTACCTTCTGAACATTACGATTTGAAGAATTTATGGTGGACCACCGCAGGTAAAAGACATAAATATTGTTGGAAGAAGATAAAATAGTCGAACTGTATCAAATGGTTAAATCACTCAAAATTTGAACCAGTGGCTATTGGTTAAGAGTTAAGAATTATTTCACTTTGGCCATTCCTTAAATATTTTACAAAAATGCTCGAGTTAACAAACTCTAACAATTGACGAGATTTTTGATAATTCGGCCACATAAGTTACCCTAGTTAAATAACCTAAATAATGTTTCTTGTTTTAAATTCCAAACTCATAGCATATTATTCAATCAAAACATTGTGCTCTTGGTTTTTGGAACCAAGAATAAGCGGGGGTATCTTCATTTTTGAACTCAATCATCTAAAAAGGGCTAACCAAGAATTCTTGTGGTTATTCCAAATTCTATACCTTCATTAAGATTATTTTTAGTGAAAAATATAAGTTCAAGATTTGAATCCAAAGAACAAAACAATATATTTTTTAATATTTTCAATCATTTTGGCAAATATTGGAACGCTTTTTGGCCATGAATACTTATTTTTACAATTTCCTTCTTTTTGGATTATTTCTAAAATAACCCCCCATCCACATCCCAAATAGATTTTTCAAAAAAAAAAAAAAAAAAATTTTAACATCATTTTGACGTGTTTTATATAATTTTCTTTAAAAAAAAATTTCCTATTTTTAGATTTTTTTTTTTTTAAGACTTTTTTTGCTTGATCAGGCTTCACTCGACACTGATTAACTCAGACTCGGTCTCAGTTACTTAGCTCGTCCATATGCCGAGCCACGTAGCTGAGTCATAGTTTTACTCACTGGAAATGATGAGTTTGTTTGAGATTACAAATATAGAAGAAAGAAATTTAAGTATTTTTAATCAAACTTGGAGGTATTCAGATGGAAAGTTTTTAAAATATTAATCAAATTGTAGCACTTCAAAGAATTGAATGTTCTTCGTTTTAAAATATGAATTTTCATGTTTCGAACGCATCTCCTCTCTAGAAATTTCCCTGTTTCGAGCCACGCCATGAAGCGTGTCATATGTCAAAACGAGCGTATCATCGAGATGTAGCTCGTGTCTGAATTTGACCTTACAAAATATTTTGACACCAAATTTTGGGCGTCAAATCCTCTCTTAGACTCCAACTTTTAAAAAATATAAAAAAAATATTATCAATAAAATAAAATGACCAAAATATACCTGAAAGATTCATGGGGTATTTTGATCAATATATGTTATCGAAAAACTAATTTTAATGTTTATTTTAGTTATGCCCCAATGATAACATAGCACGTATGAAATACAATTTGTGTAAAAAAAATTAAAAATACAATAGTCTAAGGCGTTGGATCTTAGATGAAATGGTGAGTGTCTCTCTTGATCAAAATTGGCTGGTTGGATGGTAGGGGAAGCATAGATCTTCTATGTTGTAGGGGAAGTATAGAAACCATTCCCAGTAAGTAAAGAGAATAGGTATACTTCCCCCACAACAAAAAACTTATCTACTTCTCCTTATCCAACCATCTATTCTCAATAGAGGGCTACGATTGCTCCAATCACAATGTTAGGTCTCTACACTATTTTATTTTTAATTTTTTTTATATAAATTATTTTGACACCAAATTTTGATTGTCCAATCATCTATTAAACTCACAATTTTTAAAAATATAAAAAAATATTTTGGATAAAATAAAATAACCAAAATACTCCTAAAATATTCAAAGGGTATTTTGGACATTATTTTAACAGAAAATTATTTTACTATTTTTTAGTATGTGTGCCCCAATGAGAATATGGTACATACGAAATTTCATAAACATAAAATTTGTATAAAAACAATTAAAAATTAAATATTCTGTGCTATTGGATCTAAGATCAAATGGTGAGCGACTCACGTGATCAAATTGGACGGCTAGATGGTAGAGGAACCATAGATCTTCTATGTTGTAGGAGAAGTATAGAAACATTTTCCAAGCAATTTTAGCAAAGAAATCAATGCCATTATGAGATAAACACCAAGAACACATGAGCAAGCATTTAAAAAAGAAAATCAATGTTGTTGCAAGTAAAGGCTGACATGTCCAAATGCCTTAGAATACAATGCACAAAATTTGCCTATATTTTAATTGTATGTCAAAGATTAGGGGTGGCAATGGAATTGAACCCGACTAGGTACGAGGTACGGGTCCAATTTTTGGACTCGGTGTGTCAAGAGAGGGTCCAAACCTTGGACCTGAACACTATTCGAGTCTGGATCTAGGTCCAGGTCCGATCAAGATCAGATCCAGCTGCCAATTTCCAATCCCACATTATGTTTTTGGGTCCCAGTTTATGAAATATATTTAAATATATAGATGTTTTAATTTTTTAGTCAGGTCAAGTCAGGGTCTGGGTCTGAGTCCCACATTACATTTTTGGGTTTGGGTCTGAGTCCGGTGACTTTGGGTCTGGCCGGACACAGACCAGACCCAAATACACCCCTATTAATGACACCACCAAATTTTGACCATACAGACTGGATTTGTCATACAGGGGCAAATAGAGATGGCATTAATACTGAATAAGGACAAGCTTGCCAAGATTAAAGAAAAGGAGAGCATAAATGCTAAAAATGGAGAGAGCGTCTTATCCAAAGGTAGTTAGTGAATCATAGCTACCTACTGTTGGTCATTTATTAAGTAAACTAACCCAACTTTCACTAATATAAATATAAAAGGGCATGTTTGTCCCACACCCAATCCCTTGCGACTATTTCCTTCACATCTCAAGTCTTCTACAGGTTTAACCACATCCCGTTTTCTTTTTCTTGAGTAGTTCTTTCTCATCCCCTCAGTTCCTTCTTTGTTGAATTAAAACAAATCCAGCCCAAGTCCAAAGGCTATTTCTTGATTGACATAACTTTTACCTGTATCCTACCAGTTTGATGTCCAATAGTCTTTTGCATAGTCATGGGCGCATCATGTATAGTCTATATCAATAGAATATTTCTACCAAAAGCCCAAGTAGTCCATAGGGTCTCCTTACTACTAAAAGACAAACCAGAGTATGGTTTTGGAGAGAAAATTATTGACCTAACACTTGTTCTCTTAGGTGTCTCTAGCTAAAATAGTTTTTGATTAATTCGTTAACAAGAGAAGACTAGAATATTTTCTTGTCATCTATTGGCTGAAGAGGATGAGATTGAAGATCCGAACATCAATTCTTCAAGCATGGAGAGTATGATGGAATTTGTGATATTGGAATGGAGAAAATCACACCCAAACAATATGGAAATGAGAAAATCCCACCTACATGGCTTGAAGATGAGTATAAAATAGAGTGGTATGTTCAGAATCAGGCTTGGGATCGAGTGGTTAGTAGTTGATGTAAGCAACACCACATTTCAAGTACTATTCCCACCACTAAACTAATAACGCAAAAGGATATCGAAAAATAAAATCCGAGCTGCAACAAGCAAAGTGAGCAATAAAAAAGATTAGTGAAGTTTTGAGGGTTGTTTCAAGCCTGATTATTTACAGGGCAAATAATTATAATGGGCATTCGCCACTCAGAGAGAAGCTGAGGTGAACCATCCTCCAATGGAAATGAGGTCTATGCAGCGCAAATAATTGTTCAAGCCAAACAATGTATGAGACAAACTTATAGATATTATGTGGGTGACATTAAATTTGCGTGTAGGCATGCATGCATCTATGGACATGGTTTTATATACACACGAGTAAGTTCATCAATATTCTAGAAAACATAATACTATATTATTCTAATAACATCGCTCTATGTATGTGGAAGAAGAAAACAATGCATGTTTTCTTTTTAAATCAGTAGTAATATGATACGATTTAATTTTACTAAACCTTGACAAAAAGTAGAAATTTTGATAACCTATGTCATTGTAATAGGAAATACTCAATTATTTTTTGAAAGCAACTACAATGACGTGCACTTTTACAATTCCATTACTTGTTTGTCCTCAGCTTTTACCGGTGTCTCATTGTATCCAATATTTTTTTCTTGCCACAAAATGAAAAAAGAAAATTTAAAAAAAAAGAACGATAATCATCAATCCATCTTCATCACAATCAAACTTGTGAAAATTCAAGAAATTAAATGATATATTTTCTTGAATAAAGGTGAAACCAGTCTTGGGTTTGACGATTGCATTACTACCATCCAAAGTTTGAATACTACATTCGAGTTTGTGTGCTACTGTTAAACAACAACCAAAAGGAAGAAAAAAAATGAAGATCAAGCTCAACGTTCTACAATAAACCTAATATAACAAAGGCATTTTCAAAGAACTTCACTATCATGTCTCTTCTTGGAACAATGGTTTTCCCAGATATAGATAAATTAGAAAAAAATGTATTGCCAAAAACACATATGGTTTTACATTCTAGTAGTTATTTAGGTTTCAAGGTCTTTCGGCTGGATCTATGGTTGCCAAAAGGGCCCTATAGTGGTTCCTATTGTAGAAGCATCAGAGATCGGTAGAGATCCTAGACTAGGAAGTAGCTTCACATTTTATACTTTACTCTGATCATTATGCTTGAAGATTGTTATTAAATAGTCATGGATATAGAAAGTATTGGCATATAGCCTTGATTATAAAAAACTATAAACAAGAAAGTTTTGATACTATTTTGTTCCATTTTTAACCACTGGAACCGTATTTTCCCTAGCATGAAAATAATTCATAATTAACCATTGGAATTATCCTGTGCATATTCGACTACCATTTGGAATCTTAAACTGCACATGGATTGCACTTTAATAGTCCTATTAAAAAAGAACATCTGTAAGGACCACAATATTCTCTCAGTCCAGAGATGTGCACAACGATGGAGGGTGAAACAGAGGCCTAGCACCGTTTGAAGTATCGTCGCGCGTGTATAAGAGCTCAACGCCGTCTGTGACCTAGCGCTATTTGGGAAATGAAGAAGAGAGAGAGAGAATCAGCGTCGTGCGTGAAGATAGGATGAGCATCACCGTTAGTAGAAGAGGCCTAATGCCGACTGTGAAGAGAGAGAAGGAAGAGCAGTACCGCATCCAAAAAGGCATTGCGGCGAGTGAAAATTTGAGCATCGCCGCCAGTGTAGTGCCATTTGGTGCATCGCCACGTGTGAACTGGAGTATTGTCAGAGAAGGGGGAACGCTACCAATACCGCACTTGTCCGTACTGCACGTGTAAAGCCGCATCTGTCAGAGCCGAACATGTCAGCTACAATAACCTTCACCTACCCTGAGTACTTGACGCCTTGGAGAAGCCATTGCTTAGAGCTCGAGGTGGCCCGCGAGTGGGAGATTTGAAAACACTGTGAACACCAGGTAAGTGGGTTTAGTACCGTGCATCATTTCACTTCATAGGATCTAAATTTAAGTTGCTATGAAGAGCAAGATGATGGAATGAGGTATATGAAAATAAATGAATATAAAGGGGTTGAATGAGTGATTGAGCATTGAGTAATGAACTTGATAAATTTATAAAGTAGCTTCCTTGTAAAACTTGCTTAAATTGCTTGACATGAATAAGGCTTTTGCTGGGTTTCTTTTTGGCTTGTGAAATGGTGTATATCATGTGGATAACTTGTTAAATTGTGAAATAAGGGATTTTTCCCGCAACTGTGAGGGTCTTTGCCTTGGGATTTTCGACGACCAAACGGTGCCCAAATGGGTCCAAATCAGTTTTGAATGAAAGATATGCAAGTCTATTTTTGTTTTCCTCTCTTATTATGTTAAAATTTTGTATGGATTAAAAGATATGTTCCAAAATGTTGGGGCCTATCATTGCCCACAGTGCGGTTAATTCCAGCAACTGTGACCCTTTTTGTGCCGCACTTTTTGCCAACCAAAGTTGTCCAAACGTCTTCAAACTGCTACCATTTGAAAGATCAGTGAATAAGCTTGAAGTTGCATGTTTTGATAATTTTTAGATTGCCCGTAAAATTCAAGTTACGCCCTAAAATGTATGGGTACATCACACCCACTGTTGCAGGAAACTTTTAGCAACTTTCAATCGTTTTGAGCCGAGTTTTTGACCTAGTAGAAGTTGTTCAAATTCCTTCAAATCACCACCAGTTTAAAGCCCTGGTTATGAACTTAATGTTGCATGTTTAAAGTTTTTCAAAAATCCCCCTAGATTGGGGAATTACACCCCCGAGTAGAGGGCTATGTCATGGTTGCACCTCACAAAATTTGTGTTATGCTCGTTTTCTGCCACCTTTCTCGGAATTACTCATTAAACTATTCAAGTAGCTATGTAACGTCTTTGATAAGTGATAAATTTGAGTAGTATGCAATGTTTTTCATGCGAATGCCATAGTGTTATGTGGTTGGTGCTACGCAAATATGTGCTATGTTATAAATGGATAAGTGCAAAACTAATGTGATTATTCTATGATGAATGTTACATGATAAGTGTCAAATCGCTATAGTTGACATCTAAATGTAAATGCCTTGTGATAGCTTATCCAATGGATGCTCCATCATAAATGTTATAATGTTTTGTGAATGCTGTATGATTCTGAATAAGACTTCGTTCTTGCATGATGAAAATTTGTTTTATCTGTTATAATGCCCTGATTTAGCATGAATGAAATTAGATGCTTGAGCACTATAAGAGGCCATAATAACGACCACTACGTAATTGGACAAACATTAGTAGTGGGCCCTGTTCTATGGTAATACTGTGATAATGGCCATTATTTCACTTGTACTAGTCGCTACGTGTTGGGGCATCCATCGGTAGCAGATACTGTTTTACTGGTACTGCTCGTTACGTGATGGGGCACTCATCGGTAGTGAGGATTGCTATACTGAGGAAAGTGATGCCGGTTATATCCCCTAACTTGCTGAATGATAAGATGCAGTTAGGGGAATGTGAAATGGGAGGGTCGCACCCCCGAGATTTACTGAGATGAGATTAACGACTAACGCCTTGCAAGGTAAGTGCATATCGAAAGCCCCAATGCACGTTGGGGACCGTGTGTGTGAGTACGAGGGCATTACGAAGTGGATTCACCCACTTGTCATTGCCCTCCTTCTACAAGATGGTAGAGGTCCTAAGCAATGGGATTGGCTTAACCTGATAGATAGGGCCTCTACTTTGGGAGTAGGTGAACTAAGGAATGGGTGGGTAACATTATGAGTGATTGTGAATGCTGATGATTGTAATGATTGAATGATGCCTGACATTTGGATATGATGACGTAATTGATATATTGATCTTATTTCTAAGATACATAACTATTGCTTGATGACCTCCTATAATTGGAAGAATTGCTTATGATACATGAATGGACTCATTAATGATGCATAATACCTAGATCTACTTACTGGGCTTTCTAGCTCATCCCCCTGCATCTCCCCACTTGTAGATTGAATGTGCCAAGTCGAGGGCCAGAAGTTCGTGTGTTGCAGTTAGGAGCTGAAGTCTTTCTGCTTGTGAGGAAGTCCAGATCTTGTATATAATTGGGCAATTAGTTGTTTATTTCGGAATGTATGTACTTTTGGGCTCTGGTGCCCCAAACTCAAGTGTAATATTTTTGGAAGAACTTTCTATAATGTCCTTTTAATGATGTATGGATTCTCCAAGTTTTAAATATTCATCTGTTTTTAGAATTATTGATTTAGTTATTTTCCATGGTTTGCTCCATTTATCGCATTACTAAAGCGTTGAGTTCACTCTGACCTGAGTGACGTACGCTACATAGAGATCATGAATCTGTACCCCGTCATCCTCTGTTGAGTACAGAATGGGGGTCGGGGGTAGGGTCATGACAGATATAGTATCAGAGCCACCATGATAAGATTCTTGGCCTAAGGGGTTTTAAAGAGTCCTTGGAATAGTTTTAGAATAGATTAGTGACTAGGTGCTCCTGTGCTAGGTTGAAGATGCCGAGGGCTTGTGCCAACAATGTGAGCTCCAACATTGAGAAACCGAGATGCTCGGTGAAATTTATAGAACTCTGGGTGAAGTAACCCAGATGATGAAATAGTCAATGCCAGCTCAGCCTACCTCGTAGCAGAATGACAGTAGCCTTATAGAGAGGTTTAGAAGGCTGACACCCCCAACCTTTTTGGGGCAAGGAGAAGTAGAAAAAGCTAAGAGGTAGAAGAAACAGATAGAAATGATCCTAGAAGTGTTGCATTGCTCGGATGAGTAGAAAGTCAGATTAGGAGCCTTCATGATGGAAGGAGAGGCGGAACATTGGTGGGACTCGGTTAAGCAATCCTGGAGGGAGTCAGGAACCAAGGCCACATGGGGAAACTTATTGGTGGTGTTTGATGAGAAATACTTCCCAGAGTCTGCCAGGGAGAGGAAAGAAGTAGAGTTTATTGAACTCCAGCAAGGGAGTGTGACAGTTGAACAATATGCCACTAAATTTGCGGACCTATCTAGGTACGTGCCTCACATTATTAACACCGAGCCACGAAAGGAAGCCAAATTTGAGAGGGGCCTTCGGCCGGATATTAGAGGAAGAGTACTGTCGCCCAACCTGAAGGCTAACGCCCCATTGGTAGACCTCACTTTAAAGATTGAAAGGGACTGCAAGGACCATAGATCGAGGAAGGAATGAAAGATGAAGGTTATGCCGACGGGGAGGTTTTGAAAGTAGCCTCGACAATTTCTGAGGAGGGATATTAGGGGAAAGCCCTACCAGCTTAATCAGAGGACCTAGAAGAATCACCCAGGTAATATGGAAAGTGATCGATGCCCGGTATGCTCTCATTATGGAAAAGACAACCTCAGTACCATTGAATGCTACAGGAAACGGAACGTGTTTCTCATATGTGGCAAGCCCCGCCATTGGGTTAAGGATTGCCCTATGACAAAGGCAGAGGACCGACCAGAGGCACAAGGATGAGTGTTTTCCCTCACCAAACAAGAAGCTAAGGTGTCCACCTTGGTGATCAGAAGTACGTTCTCTATTTGTGTTGTTAAATCTAGAGCCTTAATTGACCTTGGTTCCTCACACTCTTTTATTGCACCCCATTTTGCTTGCTATAATGTTGAGCTTGCATGTCTTGATTATACTCTAATTATATGCACTCTTGTGGGGGATTCTATGGAAACTGATAGAGTGTATAGACAATGTGGAGCCACAATTGATGGGTGTTACTTGCCTGTGAACTTGATCGTTCTAGATATTCAGGATTTTGATGTTATTTTGGTCATGGATTGGTTGTATGCACACTGTGCCACCGTCAATTTCCTTGAAAAGACGGTGACCTTTAAACGCCCAGACCAAAATAAACTACACTCTAAGGGCACTAGGGATACTCCACCTCTGCACTTTATTTCTGCTCTTTAGGCCTCTCGCCTCCTGGCTAAGAGATGTGAGGGATATCTAGCTTATGTAGTAGAGAATTGGGATGTTCAGTCCCAACTAGAAGGGATACCAGTAGTAAGAGTATACCCTGAGGTATTCCCTGAAGAGTTACCATTCCTACCTCCAGTGAGAGAAATTGAATTTGAGATAGATGTAGTCCTTGACACTGTTCCCATTTCTAAAGCTCCATATAGAATGGCTTCAGCAGAGTTGAAGGAGTTGAAAGAACAGTTGTAAGAATTATTAGATAAAGGATTCGTCTGACCCAGTGTGTCACCCTGGGGTGCACCGATCCTATTTGTAAAGAAGAAGGATGGGTCCCTGAGGCTATGTATTGACTATAGGCAGTTGAACCAAGTAGCAATGAAGAACAAGTATCCCCTGCCTAGAACTGATGATCTTTTTTACCAGCTCCAGGGGGGACCAAGTGTTTTCGAAGATTGATCTTCGGTCTGGTTATCACCAGTTGTGAGTCAAGGAGGGAAACATACTGAAGACTGCTTTCAGAACTCGATACGGTCATTATGAGTTTCTTGTGATGCCGTTCGGGGTTAACAAATGCCCCCACGGTGTTCAAGGATTTGATGAATAACCCTTCCTAGATGACTTTGTAGTGGCCTTTATCGATAATATCTTGGTATATTCAGAGAGTCGAGAACTGCATGAACAACATCTAAGAATTGTCTTGCAAACATTGAAATCGGAGAGATTGTATGCTAAGTGGAGTAAGAGCACGTTTTGCTCCCCAATGTGGCTTTCCTTGGGCATATTATTTCTAAACATAGAATCATGGTTGACCCCTCTAAGATTGAAGTTGTAATTAAATGGGAAAGCAAAACAAATGTGACCGAAGTTCGTGGTTTTCTGAGGTTAGCAGGATACTACATGCGCTTTATAAAGGGATTCTCAAAGATTGTGCTTCCCCTTACTCGGTTGACCTAGAAGAATGTAAGATTTGGGGGGTCAGAGGACTGTGAGAGAAG